CCTCCTTCATGATGGTGAAGATCCTCTCCATATCCCGGACGTGGTCCTCCCTCTTTTTGCTCTTGATCAGGATGTCGTCCACGTAAGCTTCCATTGTTTTTCCTAGTACGTCTTTGAACAACATCCCGATCATTCTCTGGAAGGTGGCCATGGCATTCCTCAGGCCGAACGGCATGACCACATAACAGTACACGCCCTCCGCTGTGACGAACGCCGTTTTTTCTGCATCATCAGGATGCATGAACACCTGGTGGTAGCCCCTGAATGCATCCATGAAGCTGAGCAGCTCGCAGCCCGCCGTTTCATCTACGAGCAAGTCGATCCTTGGCACTGGATACGGATCCATCGGGCAGGCCTTGTTGAGGTCCGAGTAGTCGACGCACATCCGCCATGTGTCGCCCTTCGGGGCTAGCACCACGTTGGCCAACCACTCCACGTGGATGACCGGCCGGATGTGCTTAATGTTGAGGAGCGTAGCCGCCTCTCTTTTGATGAACTCTCGCCGTTCGGCTGCCATGTATCTCTTCTTCTGCTGTATGGGCTTGGCATCCGGCCGTACGGCGAGTCTGTGGCAGATGAGGTTGGGGTCTATCCCGGGCATGTCCTCCGGTCCTCTGGCAAATAGGACTTTGAACTTCCGGAGGACAGCTATGACCCCTTCCTTGATCTCAGGTTCGAGGTCGGCGCCGATGGACACTTTTCTGTCCGAAGGTTCATCCAGCTCCACCTCCTCGAGCAGGGCAGCCGGTTCCAGGCGAGCGTCGAAGTCAGCCTGCCTGGCTTTCTCAGTGATGCTGTTGACCCGGGCTTCTCGCTCTCTGAACCTCTCCATGGCCTTGGTGTAGCAGGCCCTGGCCATGTGTGGATCCGTGCGGGCGACCCCCACCCCTGTCTCGGTGGGGAATTTGATGCATGAGTGCCGCACGGAGCAGATAGCCTCCAGATCCTCCAAGCCGGGTCGGCCTAAAATTGCGTTGTGAGCACATTTCAGGCGGACCACGACGAACGTCATCCGGATGCGGGTGGTGTGAGGTCCATCCCCGATCTCGACAGGGAGGCCGATGGTACCCTCCGCATCGATGCAGTCCCCTGTGAAGCCAGAGAGAGGGGTACGTAGAGGGGCTAGCTGGTCCTTCCTCAACTTCATTCCCTCGAATGCCTCCCAGTAGAGGACGTTCACGCTGCTGCCCGTATCAACAAGGACGCGTCGGACGATCGCATTGTTGACATCCATGCTGATCACCAACTCATCCCTGTGGGGGGCCGGTGACATCGGTAGGTCGGCCGGCCCAAAGGTGATGGCCTCTACCTTGTTCTTTTTGGCGGGGGGTGCTGATATGGAGCCCACATAGAGGGACCTCTCAAACTTCTTTCGTTCCGCCGGCGTGTCCCCGGTCTCTGCGCCCCCGAAGATCACTTTGATCTCCAACTTCTTCTTTCCGCCGTTCGGGCCGAGGGACCCCTCCGGACGTTTATCAGCACTCCGATAGTCTACGTCCTTTGGTTCCGCCTCGCGCCGATCGTCGCGGCGCCATGACCGCGATCTCGGATTCGGCTGCCTCGGGCTATTCTTCTTCAGTAGTTGGGTGAACTCGCCCAGGCAGCCCTGCCGGACCAGCTCGTCGATGGCCATTCTCAGCTGTCTGCAGTTGTCGGTGAGGTGGCCGACCCTCTGGTGGTACTCGCAATATGCGGTCTCATCGTGACCCATAAGGGCCTTCTTGTCTTGGGGCTCCTTTAGGATGCCCTTGTCTTTGATTGCGTCAAAAATCTGACTGACGGGGTAGGCCAGAGGGACGTGGTATTCCTCTGGGCGTACGCGGCTGGCCTCCGGATGAGCCTTCCACGGAACCATGCCGCCGTCCGTCTTCTTCTTTTTGCTCGGGGGGGATGGCCCGCCGCCGGGGCCGAGCCTATCCGCCAATTTTCGGGAGGGGGCGGCAGGCGCGCCGTCCCGCAACCTGATCTCCTCCTCAATGGAGGCGTACTTCTGCGCCCGAGCCAGCACTTCGGTATAGCTGGTGCTGGGGTTCCTCCGAAGATCCCGGTATAGGTCCCCCGTTGCTAGAGCGCTGGTGAACATGTTCACTCCCAGCCGCTCGTCCAGGTCATCCACCTGAAGCACTTCATCTCTCCATCTGACCAGGAATTGGGCCAGAGGTTCGTTCTTCCCCTGCTTCACACTTGTGAGCGACGTGAAGCTCTTCTTGGGGGTGGTGCTGGCAGCGAATTGTGCCATGAACTGCTGGGACAGCTGTTCGTAATTATCAATGGATCCGGGCCTCAGCTGCCCGAACCACTCCTGCGCCGGACCCCTCAGGGTGCTGAAGAATAGCCGGCAGATGGCCTCATCGGATGCCCCCAGCATAGAGAGGTTCCCCTGGAAGCTGATCAGGTGAGCCTTAGGATCTCCGGTCCCGTTGTATATTATCCCCTGGGGGGGCCTGCAGTCCCGCGGAATTTCCGCATTCATCACCCTCTGGGTGAAGGGTGAAGTGAGGGAGAAGCGCGGCGTGGCTGGGGTGGCCTCCGCCCGTCTGTCCATTTCGGCTAATCGCCGCTCCATTGCCTCTAGCCGGGCCTCCTGTGCGGCCCTTCCGGGGGACACAGGAGGGGCGGCCTCGAGCGCAATGTTCCTTCGTGGGGCAACCGCGTCGGGTTGCCTTCGTGTGATATGGGCGCCATGTCTTTGGAAACGTCGTCCAATATTACTGGCGGCGGGGGTAATGATGGTGCCCCGCTGTTCGGAGGGGACATCCGGCGTGCGTCCCCGGTGGTCATCTTGCCACCCATAGCGGGGGGTGCTGGCGCTGGTGTGCCCCCCAGCTCCATGGGAAGACGGATTCTGACCCAGCCTCATGTGGATGGGTGTCCGGCGCCCGGCAGATTCCGCTGTCTCATCCAGGGTCTGCATGCGGCGGACAGGTGATATGGGCGTCCAGATGGTGTTGGCTGAATACACCTCTTCGTTCGCCTCCTGTTCGTCCGCCATTCGGCGCATTGTTTCCGCCAGTTCCCTCATGAGTCGAGGGTCATGCCTGGCTTCGTGGGGGATGAGATTTGTGAGACCACCCTCACCCCCAGTCGTCCCCAACGTCTCGGAGTATTCCGTGGTTTGCCCGCGGTTGCTTCGTCCGCGGGACAACTGCTCGGAGAGATCGCGTTGGCGGTTGTTTCTTGTCATCGTGCCTGTTTTGGGTAGATTTAGTAGCTGTTTCGGGAGAGTTTTTTGGAAACTTTTAGTTCAGTTTCCCACAGACGGCGCCAGTGTTGAGGTTTATTCCTTCAACCTTCAGGCCCAACACGTAAGCCCAAAGATTTCGAGTGGAGTGCGTATGAGTAACTAGCCCAACAAACAGATGATAAGGGTCAAGAAACAATAAAGTAGCAAGTAAGTGATTAGGTATTATTATCTCTTAATAACTCCCTAATACAATACTCTTTGCTAAGGCTCCGTCGGCCGTTCGTCTTACAAGGCAGTAGAAGTGCTGCGAATAAGAATGCTATAGCTAGGGTGCTAAGAATAGAAAGTTGCCAACCCTTTACAATGAAATAAATGCTTCTATTTATACCCGCCAATGGGCAGGTGGCTATGCTGACGTGGAGGCCTGCAGACCGCTTGTGTCCCAACCACCAAATCTTCTGCATTAAATGCACTTCTCGCCAGAATCTAGGCTTCCCGCCTAAATAATGGGGACGTTCGTCCGCCGGGGGTGAGCTGGGTCACTCCAAGTGACCCTCAAGAGACTTCGGCTGTTCGTCCCCTGACCTTGTGGATTCCCTCCATGTGGACCGGATCTCCTCCGATGATCATGGGCCTGCCCAGGAGACGTTCGTCGTTACCCCTGGTGGCTAGTGGTCCTGCCTCTTGCCTCTGCACAGACGTTCGTCACGATGGGCCGTTTGAACCTGGGCCCCCCAATTCCAGACGTTCGTCTCTTCCCAAGGGTCCTGGGCCTGCGCCCAGCCTGGTCCTAGCTTGACGTGCGTCCGATAAAAACAAAGGGGGTTAATGGGCCGGACCTCGGCCTGGGCCATTATCCCAACAACCCCCGACCCCCCCCCCCCCAAAAAAAACCCAACCCCCCAAACCACCCCAAAATACACAGCCCAACCCGAGGATTTAAAAAAAAAAAAAAATTGGAAAAAAAATAACCTGGAATCGGGCCCAGACCGGCCGGGCCGGTTCATGTTTTGGGTGACCCGAGCCCGGACCGGAAACCCCTCGGGTCGGGCCTACCCGGACCGGTAACTGGCCGGGCCGGAACAGTGCCGGTTCCAGGTCGGGCCACCCGGCCCTAGTCCACCCCTTCATGAGAGTATGACTTTGTAGAGGGCAAAGTGAAGGGAGCGCATTCGTGTGGACAATTGATCTCTTTTCTATTTTTCCCCACTCTTTTTCTTTTATCGTTTATCTTCTCGTTTTTTTATTCTCTTTTATATTTTAATCTTTTATCTTTCTTATATTTTTATGCGATTGTTATCTTATATTCCCTCCGTCCATAATAACTTTGCCAAGTTTGACCGGCACTGATATTAATAAAGTAAAAACTATTTGATTAAAGTTTGTGCAGACGAGAGAGAATTAACTGGAACCACAAATTCTTTACTTAAAAGGGAAAGTGGCAAAGTGAATGAGAGTATGAGACATCCAAAAAAGAAAAGTTGGTAAAGTTATAAAGGACGGAGGGAATATTTATTTATCTTTATCTTATTCATTTTATTCTTTTTTTTTTCTTGTATGTCTTCTCTTTTTTACATCGATATCATGGATCAATTCATGTTAGCCAACCCCAAAATCTTTTGGGATTAAGACTTCGATGTTGTTGCAATTATATAGACCAATGGTATGCAATAATATTTTGGGATTACGGCTTGAATGTTATTTCTTTCAAAAATGTAAATTTGGGATATTTACCTCACACCCCTTTAAAGTTTAGGGTGTTTTGAATTATTTTTCGTTTATTTTATCATTAATATTTAATAAGTAAGTTTATTTACTCAATCACTAGTATGCATTGAATAAAAAGGAAATCACAAATAAACTGATTACTTATCGTCTTATCGACAAATAGGTTTTGAACTTTCCTATCTATTCATAGCTATATACACAAAGAAACTTCTATGAGGTGACTGGTGTTGTCATTTTGGCACAACAATGCATCCTTCCGAGGATAAAAACATGAAAGGGAGGCCGGAGATTCTTAAATAGCTTAACATTCATTTCCCAATTGAAATCCGGGGTATTTTTTAGGCAGAGAAACATTCACTCATCCGCTAAACAGCAAGGTGTGGGCGGTGCCCGACAACATTCAGTGCAGTCACCTGGCGAGATCATCATTCATCAACATATACAGAAGGTCAGATAGAATTATTTGGAAGACAAAACTGAACTTCTGCATGGGAAGATGGGAAATTTACCTCAGAAAAAGAGTTGAAGTTGAGACGCAAAAGAAAACGCCTAAGGAATGGTGCTCTTTGGCTCCCAGCAAGCCTGCTATTTCTGAGTATTGTGTATAAGGAGTTCGATTTTTTGTTGAATTCCTGTGGCATATATATAAACATCAAGAGAAGTATTACATCCAATTTTGATTTCTGTTCCCTAATAATAATTACATGCAAAATGAAATAAAGTGCAATGGAGGTGTGGCAAAGCCATAGGGTATTTGAGTCCTTCAATACCTCAGCAATATGCTCTAGCTCGTTTGTATCCCCATTGCCCGCCTGATTCTCCATCTTCCAGCAAAATTGCACACAGAGTTTCATTATGCCATACAGAATCCTCGAGACAGAACCAATATCCAAGAAAGATTGTGAAATTAATGCACCCAGGTATCTGCAAATCAACCCCACGTATATATGTATTTAGTAATACACCCAAAGCGAATAAATAATCTAGTGCAATTGATATCTTTATAGCCTTGTGACCTCCTTACATTATACAACTATTTGTAAGTAGGTTTTAGTTACATGATGAGTTACTTGAGAAAGGAGGGGATTCTATTAATGTAGATTACTTACTCTTGATGGAAGCCCACAAGTTCTGTGAAATCATGAGAATTTTGAATATGAGACTGCAAAACATTCCACTGAGATTCTATAACATCAACCTGGAAAAATAGAGAAAGATCAACTAGCATGGATGGAATAGGAGGGAACACAACAATAAATCAAATAATCAGTAAGGAGTAAGGACACATTTCAATCTGTAAAACTAGGCATACTATTAGAGTACTCCCAAAAGAGAGAGACTGGTTTTAAAAGTAACTTCATTTTAAGTGAAATTCGGGCAAGCAGTTATAGTCTATTACTCCAAACAATCTTGGGGCTCGTTTGGTAGTTCACACATTAAAACTTTACATGCAAAATGATTGCACGTAAAGTGTAGGGCTGTAATTAGTTTACATGTAAACAGTAAACTAAAAATACATCGTTTGACTATCTATGTAATCTGTTTTTAAATTACACACAATCTTTTTGTTTGGAAACTAATTTTACACGTGTAATATTTACAAAAAAATAAAACATAAAATACTTACACAATCAAATAGGCTGGTTTCTAAAAAAACTAAACAACACCTGCAGTCTGCCAATCTAGCTACAAAATCGAACTAATCATGGACAACACCTGCAGTCTGCCAATCTAGAGAATAAATCATTGTAGAAGCTTTCTTGGAACGACGGGTGTAGACTGTAGAGCAACACAGATGGAGAAAGAGATTTGATGATGTGGTTTACCAATTTTATTTTCTTACTGGAGCAACACAGGAAGAAAAAACGAGTTTAATTCATTGCCGGCAAGATTTTTGGTTGTCGTATGTAATTCGGTGTATTTATTCTCCCGTATTAACGGATGTAAACTAGTTTACTACCCTCCCCCCCCCCCCCACGTAAAGTATTTTACATGGTATAGTGTAAAATGGTTTTTAAAAAGTGTCCTACAGTTTACAATAAACAGTTAAAACAAACAGTGTAAAATGTTTACTTCCTCACACTTTGCACGCAAAGTGTTTACTTTACATCATAACAAACGGGCTCAAACAAGAACCTCAAACAAGAATTAATGTTTTCAACAGTAATTCTAACAAGAACCTGCTCAAACAAGAGGGAAGAATGCAAGAACATCAATCAACAATATACTGAAAAGTCTACATTCAGTACAGAGTCCCAAAAGTAGAGATAAAACTCTAACTTCCCAGCCAAGACAACTTGTCTCAAAAAATACAGCCTCCCTACCACTTCTAACAGTATTCTATTTATAGTAAGGAAGGCTAACCCAGTAGTTATTAGCTCATAACAGACTAAACTAATAACAACCCTACTTCCTTCTAGAATACACTTTATTAGAGTATTTATCTCCTCTCTTCAGATTAATAAAGTCTCTATCAGCAAGCACCTGTCGTCTAATACTCATTCATAATTTGTAAAAGCGTGTACTATGGTAGAGTTTAGTGTAGTGACTGTAGTCTTTAATTATTAATATGTATTTAAATACTTGTCATGGTGATTTAATTTTAGCATGAAGATTTAATTTTAGCATGAGTCAAACTTCATTATTCGTAAATGGCAAAGTAGTGGCATGGAGAAAGTACTATATGCTCTCTCCATGCTGAAGATAGAGAGTCATACATAGATTACCTGAATATAGAACTGGAGATTTTTTATCAAGAAAGCCATATGCTCTCTTACATGCCACATTGGTCTAATGTGTTGTCGCCGCTGTTGTGATGATGAAGACTTTGAATGGTCATTGCGGTGCTTAGCAAAGTCTGAGTGATTTTGATGCATCGAGGAAGCCCATGATTTTTCTAGTTCCATCTGTGTCCGCTTAAGTCGGAGCAAGTACTGGAAAATTCTTTGGTACCTAGAACAATTTTTTATTAGAATACAAATTTCACGACTTCAGTTATAACATGGTGTTGTTGCTTTCTTATGAGCTGGGGTGCGTGGATGATGACATCCAACATAACACAAACTTTTTTAAAGCGAAAATTGTCCAAAAGCGATGAGATTGGGCTTTGCTTAAAAGCGAAAGCGCTAAGCGAAGCGTAGCTTTCTCACAAAAAGTGATGCCTATTAAAAATTACAATAATTATAATATATAATGTATAATTATGCCGAAAATGCATAATTATAATACTGGTGCTGCATAAAGTGAGAAAACATTCATCACACAATTACGCAAATACGCATAACTAATAATAAAAGGAATAAACTGAACTGAAGTAATAAACTAAAAAAATTAATCAATAAACTGAAATAATAAATTGGAATAAAATAAAAATTAATTAATCAATAAAGTGAAAGGAATAAGTCAATAAACTGGAACAAACTCAAAATTAATTAATCAATACACTGAAAGGAATAAACTTGAATTTAATTTAGCTTCGAATACATTAGGGTAACTACTAACTAATGTGTAGACAGATTGATCTTTCTGTAAAAAATTACTAGATTAATACTTGATAGAATAATAGGTACAATTATTACCAAGAAAATGATTTCTTTGTTCAACAAAAGGCATTAGCTATCTATACTTTGTTTATGATATATAATTCACCTGTTCAAAACTATAATTACTACCAAGAAAATGATAATCTAATTATTTCTTTCATTATATTATATCTATAAAATATAAGTTGTTTTAGAAGTTTATAGAAACAGAGTAAGATTAAGATTTTCAAAAAAAGAAAAAACAGGATGCAGAGTAAGAATGAGTTGTGGAAGTCTGGTCTCAAAGCCTCAAACTAAAAACAAAGACTAAACTCTAAAAGTGAGAAACGATGTTCAGACGGAGCAATTAGAATTGTGTATCACCGGTGAGAAAGTCTGGATGAAATAGAACTGCAGCTTCTTCAGAATTGGCGTTCACCTGCGGCTTCTTCAGACCGAACTGCTCGCAGAGAAACCGGCTTCTTCAATCGCAGGCTGCTCCTTCAGCGCACTGGCTTTGTCTGGAGCGAGGAAAGAGTCGAACGACACTAGACCTGATAACCCTAACTTGTAGCGACGAGAGGAGAAGACTAAAACAAAACAAAAACGACCTGTCAACGCTTTTTGTGAGAAGCTCGGAAAAGCGTAGCTTAATGGAAAAGCTCACTCAAGAAAAGTGCAGGGATAAGCGTAGCTTTCTCATGGCGGGACGCTTCTCAAAAGCCAGGCGCAAGTTGAGCGCTCGCCTGCGCTTTGTCTCTTTTGGGCGCTTTTTTCCGCTTTTAACAAGTCTGACATAACATGTTAGTAAAAAGTTACTCCACCTCTAAAAAGGGTTTTGTTTCAAAAACACTTCTTTGGACAATAACATTTCATATAATTTCACGAAAAATAAGTACCAAACTATTAAATATGATAAATTTGGTTAAACCAACTCATGAACTACAACAATATAAGTAGGATTGGCTTTATAAGAGGTTCTAAACTAGCCAAATAAAATACCTTTCAACGAAGCTCTTTTTTGGGACAGAGCTAAGACACTTTGAATGTAGAAAATCACTAAAAAACAAGACAATATATGTTTCAGCTAAGACACTTCACTGTATGAAAATGTAATAGTCATTTGGTCTTACTTTGAAAGGACTTCCTGTGTAATAAACAACTGCAAGGGCCATTCAACAGAATACTCAAGTGAAATGACATCCCATCCGTCAAGGGACATCTCCAAAGAAGCATCTGATTGCCCTCCTATCTCTCCATCAGCATATGCATTTTTCAGCAAATCACGCTGAGTTGATTTGAGAGGAATCCCAACAGAAGGCACACTACAGTTAAAATACAAAAGGTGACTTAGGGCATCAATTTTAACATACAACTTCGCTCAAACAAAAATAAAAGACTCTAACCGCAAAGACACTCTACAAAAGTGTTTGTCTTCATCTCCAATAGTCTTAAGTGCAGCCTGCAATGCAATTATTCTTGTTAAAGCTTTACAGGTAGGTTCAGCGATGCTGATGAAAGAAACATGTCGTTGAAACTTGAAAATGTCAAATGAAGCAATTAAAGAAATCGCATGATAAAATAAGAATTCACAATGTATTGTCAGCAATAATCACAAAGGCAATTTTGCAAGAATCAACTAAATTATAAATATATACTCCCTCTGTTTCACTCCGATAGGGTTTTTACAGGATGTAAGAGTAACATTGCAGGAGCATTGGGTAGTGCATAACACTATAACAAGCGAAAAAGTGAGGGAGGGGAGATAAAATAACTAAATGAGTAGGAGAGGGGATGATAAAGGGTGTCTATGTCATGTATAGGCTAGTGTTTACCAAATAAGAGGAAGCAAAACAACTAACTAAAAACATCGTTAAATGGGAGGTAGGGCAACCTTTCGATACGGAAGGAGTTTCATTTTTTTCATATTATGCATCCCATGTGGGAGGCCTAAATCATTCACCTACCAGTTGGAAGGGGACCATAAGGTCAGCTTCTGCAGTGGACTGGCGAGGTGGTAAATGCATGAGCTGGCGACTCTCCTCAAGGAAACTCTGGCATATTAGTGCACAATAAATATATTAGAAACCTTTGATTTCTTACTAAGAACAGAAAAACTACATCAGTAGAAAAGAACACTGAACATCAGATTACTTGCCTGAAAGAAATCACCTTTTGCCAGAAGAAAATAATCTTTGAGGGCTTTTAAGTGGCCATCTAAGTCTGCACGCACAACTACAAGCTGCAAAATATAAGAGACTTTAAAGGGTTATACAGAAAATCAAATAAATATTAAGTTCTGCAAACCCAAACCTGCCAAAGATGACTAGCTGCAATTGCTTTGATTGAGTCAACAGCCATTTCAAATGTTCGTTTGTGAAACTCTGATGACTCCTACACAAGGTAGCTTACAAGTTAGAAAAAGCAGCAAGAAAAAAAAATTAGCATCTTTAATTGCTACAAGTCTACAACTAGGGTTGTAAACCAACCGAGCTTTTATCGAACTATTCGAGTTCGAGCTCGGCTTCGAACCTAACGAGCCGGGCTTAACGAGCTTTTGAACTCGAACCCGAGCTGAGTTTTAAGTTCGAAAAATTAATCGAGCCGAGCTCGAACATTGTAGTATTCGGCTCAGTTCGAACTCGAGCCTATCGAACACCCTGAAATTATAAATATAATTTATATATATTCAAAATTTTAATATAATTAGTATGATTTTATGAATTTAAATATGATTATTAAAGAACCGAATACTTGTCGAATCATTCGAGCACGAGCCTATTAATGAGCATCACCTAAAATTTTAAATTCGAGCATATTTATCGAGCTTATCGAGCGCTTGGTTGGAACATCGAACGCCTATCGAGCCGAACACGAGCCTCATTTGTAAAGCTCGCCGAGCTTCGAGCTCGAAGCCGAACACCACTAATCCTTATCGAGCCGAACTCAAGCCTTGGGTGTTCGGGCTCGGCTCATTGACAGCCCTATCTACAACAGTAGAAAATCCTTTAGAAAGTGAAAAAAATGGCCTATAGTTTTTGGTAGAGTAAATGGTCAGTTTGGTCCTCGAAGTTGCATAAAAGGGGTCAAATAAGTCCTTATATAGGAAATTCTATCTAGCCGTCACCATTTAGGGCGGTTCCCGGTGGAATTTTTGATAAAAAAATTTGAGCATCTTATTCATTAAGTCTAGTTGACTCATACCAAATTTCAGATAAAAATTCAATCGGGAAGACATTCAAATGAATTCTTCAAGATAACTGTGCCGTTAAAAGCGCAGTTATCTTTAAGAACTCATTTGAATGTCTTCCCGATTGAATTTTTAGCTGAAATTTGGTATGAGTAAAATAGACTTAATGAATAAGATGCTCAAAAAAATTTATCAAAAAATTCCACCGAGAGCCACCTCAAATGGCACGTCCGGACAGAATCTTCTATAAAAGGACTTATTTGACCCCTTTTTTGCAACTTCAAGGACCAAAGTGACCCTTTACTCGTTTTTGGTATGTCTGGTTACTGGATGCATGGTTTAGTTTATTAAACCTTTAAGGCTTGAAGCAAAGATTCGATCTTATCTGCCTCAGACTGTGGTAGTAAATCTTCTCCAACTGACTGAAAATCCATTGGAGAGTTCTTCTCAAAAGAGACCTCTTCTGTGAATCCTTGGTTCTTTTGTAGACTTCTCTGTGTCTGCTGATTCAATGCTGCATTATTAAGTTGAAAAGTAGAGCTAGGATTTCGAAGTACCCTGACTGCTTTTCCAGCAAAACAAATGGACTCTGCAACACCCATAGGGATATAATCTGGAAGCATGTCCTGTAATATATATACTCTTCCGATAAATAAAAAGAATGAAAGTACAATGCATGAATTTCAGTTGTTGGAGCTACTTTCCAGTTTGACAAACATGACCCTCACTATACTGTCATACTGTGTCTACTGAATCAACTTGTGCCGTAAAAAGTTGTTTCGCCAACAAGTAGAAGGCTTGACAAAAACGCAAGTCATGACTCTTAACTAACAGTCTGATTGAAGAAACGATCTTTACACCAGAAATTTCTATGGCAATCACTATTGGAGTGTAATTAATGTTCCACTTGTTTCCATGAAAATACCTTGAGTTGGGAAATATTTTCCATGGAAAATGCTTTTATGAAAAATAAACTTTTCTATGTGTAATAAAATACTTGACCCGCAACAATCGAAAACATAAAAATGTTTCAGGAAAACATGACTTCCCATTCCCAAATGTCAAAGAACCAAAGAAATTATTGTCCGGTGCCAAGCACATGAAAATCTTTACTGAAAATTGTTTACTGGTTCCAAAAATATGATAATCAGAACTCTGAAGAGATGTTCCAGAAAAAACATCTCTGTAACAAACTGAGAGTTACTGAAAAGCTGGTGTTTACTCCATGTTTTGGCAATCACAGTGTTCCATACAAAAGTAAGTTTTTCAATCGCAACTACTTGCCTTGTTCTCCAATCACAATGTTCATCAAAATATATACAAGAAAATTATTAAAACAGAAGACTTTAAAGAAAATGATGGAATGATTGAATTATAACATACCAGCGAAATATGGAACCCCAAGTGCCAATCAGTTAAAGAAACATCACTGGTTGACAAGTGTGCCAATTTCTGAATCACATCAGAACTTGAGTCTGTTTCTGCATCCTTGTCATCCTGTCTAGAAAGAAAAACAAAGCCTTTTGTATATGCTTCAACAACAAAACTTTCTATCTGTAACACCAACTGTAACTGCAGCATGTTCATCCTATAATGGGCTGTTGAGAAGGTCTATGGATTTAGTGGAATACTGTTCCCGTAATCATAGGGAAAATGGGTAAATTTGTAGAGACGGTGAAAAGCACAGGAATGAAAAGAAAAACTCGACAAGATTTTAAGCCTTAGAGAAAATGGGTGACAGAAATCTCCTTTAAAAGTGGTCATTACCTGCCAATGAAAAATTCTCTGTATGGATCATGAAGAATCCCATAGACCATCCACGACATAAGCTGATTATACATGACTTGATGCCCATGCCAAAGAAGCCTATATTTCAAGTGAAATAGTGAAAGAATATGAGCATCAAAACAGAGAAAATCTTTGATAGTAAAATTGGAGCTTTTGAACTACAAGTTAGGCCACAAGAGATGAGGATGTTATTTTAAAAAATACCATAGCATAAAAGTACGAGTATTTACACCTCTGAATGCATGTCTGCAGTTCAGGAATGCCACATTGACACCGTTTGTGCAAGAGGTTGAGAAGCTTCCCTCCACAAACGCCATTGCGCTCTATCTCCAAAATGAGCTCGTGAAGAGGAGGCAAAAGGACAAAGAACTTATACACGAAAATACATTGGTCAGAGAATTCATAGAGAAAGGAGTGGAAATACAAGTTAAAGGCTGACAGATTTTAAAATTAATTAAATATTCCACAGAATATATGTACAGTATATGAATTCTGTGATATGCTACACAAAATATATATACTGCATATATGCCATATATCATCATAAAGCAAACAACTTTTAGTATGTGCACTTATAGAATCAGTAAGGACTCCAGAAACTAACCTTATTGAGACCGTGAGTAAGTGTTGATAAGATTGGTAATGAATCAGACAAGAATTTCTGCTCAATTTGCAGAACAGCAGACCTATACACTGATAGCACCTCAACAATCCCATTGGAAATGGCTCTCCTGTAAATACTTTGTTTCTCTTTTTTCCCCTTTAACAGTTCAGAAGCTCTAACCAGTGGTGACTCATTGTTGGACCTAATCCAGCTCAAATTCCGAGACTTAGCTGCAAATCTATCAAGTTCTCGGTAATAAAAACCAAGAGCAATTATCTTCTTAATTACATCCCTGCATGAAGAGTGAAGTTGACAAAAAATTTATAAGAAAACATTTTTAAAGTACGAATGAACCAGTTGTTAACATAGACCTAGCAATTCATGCATCGTTTTATTTTACACACGAAATACACACAATATGAAAATTTATGTCATTTCATGTTGTATCGTGTCTAATTCATGCCCTCGTCTATGTACGACTTCATAGTTATGTGAAATGCCATGATAGAGATTTTTAGGAAAAATTGTACCTTTCACTGGGTTGTATGAAGGACAGATCAGGAGCCAGGACGAAGGTGGATTCTTCCGCAATTGGTGAGTCGGGGGCCAACTGAACACCAAGTGACTGCTGGTGCTCTCTTTGATCAATAATAAGATCTCCCGTATAACCTAACAGTGCTAGTAAGATTTCATGCAACATTGTGTTGAGACCTCTGTTCTACGAAACACGGGTACGGCCTTCCGTCGCCGTTGGTGCGCCCCGGTATCGGCCTGAGGACCGGGACGGCGGGAGGACGCCTAGTAGCCGTTTTAGGTGCGCTTTGCAACAAGAGAACTGATGGGCTGCTTTGGATTTTGACTAGACGTTAAAAACTCGGATCATCCTCCAAATCTGATGTAGAAGCTCTTCTCTTCACCCGATCTGAATGTTTTCTGGTCTGAATTTTTTAAGTTCTGAGCTGATCTGATCTGAATCTTTCTGATCTGATCTGAATGTTCCTGATCTGATCTGAATGTTCCTGATCTGATCTGAATGTTCCTGATCTGATCTGAATGTTTCTGATCTGATCTGATCTGAATCCTTCTGATCTGATCTGAATCTTTCTGATCTGACCTGATTTGAATATTTCTAAAACTATAATTACAATTATAATTACTATAATTATAAATGTAATTACACATATATAATTTAAATATAATTATAATTATAATCATAATTATAAAATTATAATTATAACTACAAACATAATTATAATAGGTATAATTATTATTATACGTATTACACTAGTTATAAATATAGTCATAATTATAATTGTAATTATATTTATAGTTATATTTATTTCTATAATTATAATTTTAATTTTAATTATAATATTTATTTCTATAATTTTAATTGTAATTACTCCGTATAATATGATAATAACGAAAACAAAACTAATAACAATAACAACAACCATATTAGTAGTAAGAATAATAATAATCATGATAATAATAAATATCATCATAATAATAATAATAATAATAATAATAATAGTAATAATAATAATAATATCAATAATAATATCAATAATAATAATAGTAATAATAATAATATTAATAACAACAATAATAAAAATAATAAGAATTATAATAATACTAATAATAATAATATCAATAATAATATTAATTATAATAATTACAATAACAACAACAAGAATAATAATAATTATAATTATTATAAATATTATTATAATTATTATTATAATAAAAAGGATAAATCATGTCTGAACTTTTCTGATATGAATCTTTCTGATATGATCTGAATGATTCTGATCTGATCTGAATCTTTCTGATCTGATCTGATCTGATCTGAATTTTTCTGATCTGATCTGATCTGAATAAAATAAGAATAAGCAATAAGTAATAAGATTAAGACGAACGGAACAGCTTCCTAATCTGAATATTTCTATAATTATAAATATAATTATAATTAGAATTACAAATATAATTTAATTAAAATTGTAATCATGAGTATAAAAAATACTCCCTCTGTCCCATTTTATAAGATGTCTTTACTATTCAATTGGTCAACACAAATCATTCTTAATCTCCTACTTTTATATATCATAATTTTATTAAATTTGAATTATTTTTGGCAGGTTTTGTAGTGGTTTTAATGTAGTTTCTGAATATGTAATTCTTTTTTTCTAAAATTAATTTGAGTGCACATAGAGATCTGTTTGCTTTATCGTCGGTCAAACATCGTAAACCGAAAAGTATCTTATAATTTGGGACGGAGGGAGTATATAATTATAATTAAACTATAATAATCATACATACTAGTTTTGTACCAGGGCGTTGCCCCGGGTGCAACTCCCGTATGAAACATTTAGTTTATAATTTTGTATATGTGTAAACTACTCCATCCGTCCCAATTTACTTAGTCAAACATGATTTTTCAAGTCAATGGTACCTAACTTTGACCGCTTATATATTATATAGATAACATATTAATAATATGAAAATTATATGAAAATGTTCTTTGTTGAAAATACTATCATAAAAGTATATAATAATTATTTTTTGCATAAATATATTAGTTCAAATAATTGCTCAAAGTTTAAAACCTTTGACCGGAAAAGTAAAGATTGGCTAACTAAAATGGGATGGAGGGAGTATATCTTTCTTATGAATTTTCCGATTCTCATTGCCAAAAGCACTGAAACATTTATAATTTGATATCAAGAATAAAGAAGTTAATTAAGATCCGTAACACATTAGAATGACTAAAACACATGCATTAAAAATTGAAAGGGTGTGTTTCTAAATTATGGGAAATCTCTTTATAGACAACAATTATGATCTTGGTGGAAAACCCTTATCTTTAGAGCGAATTAAAATCTTCAATTCATCTTTGCTCTTGACCCTTGATATGTAATTGGTCGTGAATGAAGATATTTTTCTCGAGATATAGTCTGATTTGGGATAAAGACTGACTTTTGCTCTTGTTGATGCTCGTCGCAAAGCATAAGATACTCGGGAATTGCTTCATCTGAAATTCAACAGTGTAAATGACTGCATAATCAATGAAGGATATTAGTATGTACTTATATTTATATTTATTTAAACCAAAACACTATTGGAGAGAACTTACGTGCTTTAGGTACTCTAAATAGTACCTAATTCGTAAAAAAAATCTTGAATAAATCTCTTTATCCTAAAATGTTTAATCACTCAGTACTTTTTAAAAACAGAAAATGTAGATTTGAGAAATAAAAATAATACAAAATCACAATTTGGTTACACAACTCAGAAAAACAAAGAGGTTGATGGATAGTCTACCCGGGGGTATCTTATCCGAAGGGTTATTGCGGGAATAACTAGAGAGAAGTCAGAGTAAATAGGAGGAGAGAGAGACGATTTTATTAAATGAACTCGAGATGCGGAGTTGGGATGTAGATCATGTTTTACAAGGAGAAATGGGCTGCTATTTATAGCAGCAATAAATGCGATGAGGGGACACGTGTCAGCAATCCAACGGCCGAAGGGTCACATCAGCCGGTTGGCACCGGCAGTGGTACGTCCACCGCATTGATTGCGGTTGGCGGATGTGATGTGGCTTTAAATGCGGTGGTTGGCTGTCTCTAAAAGGAATCTTCGATGATTGAGCTTGTTCAGCCGAAGGCTCCTTGTGTAGCCGAGGGCTCCTTGTGCAGCCGAGGGCTCCTTGTGCAGCCGAGGGCTCCTTGTGCAGCCGAGGGCTCCTTGTGTAGCCGAGGGCTCCTTGTGTAGCCGAAGGCTTGGTTCAGCCGAAGGCTTCCCCTGGTGCCGAGGGAATGAGAATGCCGAAGGCTCATGTCTTCGCCCGTTTTCTCCCAGCAGCTTCTTATGCCAGAGAAGACTATCCTGTGAGTTTTGGAGCCTTCGGCCAAGGAGGCCGAAGGCACCCCAGTGTGTATTCTGGGCTACTTTGAGGCTTGGGCCGTTGTATTCGGGCCTGAGTTGCTTCCTGAGCTCAATGGACTTGTGTAGGAGAAATAGGAGTCTATGGGCCGGGGGTTCCTGGGCCATATACTCCATCAGGAGTCCCTCACTCCTTTTGCCGAAAGGTACTTGAGGGAAAAGGAGTAGATGTGTTGCTTCTTCTGGAGGCTTCATCATTTCGCTGGGTGCCTTTGCTGGAGAACTTGTCTTCTCCTGATTGCCGAAGGCTTCCCCTCAGTCCCTCACATGTCGAGGGCTTTCTGAGGGCAGTATAACACATGTATGACCGCAGAAGGCTTTCCTCAGTCCCTCACATGTCGAGGGTTTTCTGAGGAAAGCATAGATGTATTGCCTGCATGTGTTGTGATGAGGGCTGCTTCATTTCCGCAAGTGACTCGGGGAAAAATTTTGATACTCTGCCTCTGCCGAAGAGTGTGTTGAAGTATGTACCCGAAGGTTTCTGCTTTGATGTTCACCCGGAGGCTACATGCATTAATTGTGAATCTTTGCATGAGGAATTTTTGTCCTGTATGATTCCCGAGGGGTGCATCCCAGTCCCCCACTCCTTTAGTCCGAATGCTAGTTCGGGTTGAAGGAGTTATGATGTGTTGATGCAAACCCGAGGGGTGACAACATTGACAAGCTAGGTGCTTATGCTGCCGCAGGCTCGAGGCATTTGGTGGAATTCGTTGCCTGAAGGCGCCGGAAGCGACAGCCGGAGACTATCATCCGAGGGCACGCCGGTGTTGCCGAAATATATCCGTTATAATATAGCCGTTGGAGGAGGGGTTGACGTGGCTAGCTGGCGTTGGCTGACGGTGGGCGGTTGTCACCCATTGGGGAATGAGGCGGCGTGCAATGATGATTTTTTTTAAACGGAGGCCCATATATCGAGGCCCATTCCCTATAAATACCCAAGCCAGAGGTCATTCTCCTTGCGCGATTTTTTGATAGCGAAGCTCTGCCCTTTTGTTTTCTAGAGAGAGAAAGCCCTGTTCGATCAGACCCCAAGTTTCGAGGTCAGTTCTTCACCGTTCTTCGATTCTTCTAGCATACTTTGCTCTATTGTTCTTAGATTAAGTGTTAGAGCCTTCCTGGGAAACCCCTGGTATCCTTTTTTCCTTCCATACCTGCGTTCTCTCGATTCCGAAGGATGTCATCAGCAAGCGATTCCCAGAACCATTCAAGGGAGCCCTCAGCTGCAGTAGAGAGCTTTTCTGATTCGGAGTCATCGAGCGAGCAGTCCTCGACCAATAATGACCTTGTCGTGGCCGAGGAGGTACAGAGTAACCTTCGGGTTGAGCTGGAGGCTGAAGAATTCGAACAAGTTGCCGCTGATGAAGAAATGGCCCTCGCACTCCAAGTAGCTGAGGAAGAAGAAGAGAGGGAACGACAGGAGGTTACGGTCGCCGTCTTGCCCCTCCGTGGATCCGGGGAGGCGAGTACCTCCCGGCCTCTAGATCCAGAACCCCTCAGCGTTGCTGTGGGGAAGAAGAGGAAGAAGACGAAGGCTTCTCAGAAGAAGAAGAAGCAACCTGCCGCAGATTGTGGGAAGCCTGTGGGGATCCCCGAGGGACACTCCTGGTTGAATACAGCCGCCCTCCCGCTTAGGTCGAGGGCTGACCGGGCAGAGTGCTACGTTACTCAGCTCCATGTGGGTCCGTCGGCCACTGTTATAGAACCGGGGCCCAACGATATCCTATCTCGGGCTCCCGAAGGATGTTTCGCCGTCCATGTGCTGTCGGTGGCCATGGGCCTCCGGTTCCCGCTGCATCCCTTCCTCCTCGAATATCTGAGGTACGTGGGTTTAGCCCCCTGTCAGCTCACCCCAAACAGCCACTCGTACATCACAGGCTTCCTTCAGCTTTGCCGGGACCGGGGGGTAACCGCGACCCTCGATTTATTTTTTCAAAGCTTCAA